ACAGAGGGCAAGATGAGTCTGAGAGGGAGGCAGGGAGTGTCCCAGTCCCACAGGAAGAATCAGGTTTTATCCAGCTCCTCTGACACTAAATTCCATGTCCCCCCCAAAACAAATAAAATGTTCATAAAAACAAAACTGCTCCAGTGAAGATAAGTCAGAAAGACAGGATCTCATCCTTCTGCATAAAGAAATGAGACAGAACACCCTTAGAGATTCATTCGGGCCCAATACACAATAGGTGCTCAACACGTCTGTTGAATGCTCACCGTGCAAAAGCGATTTCTGTTGGATACCTCACAAGCACGGAGCTCCTTGTAAAACTCTGGACGAATGGGAGATGGGGACTCAGAAAGAGAAGAGAAAACAAATCAAAGTCCACCTGATGCCACCACACTGGTTACACACTTAATAGCACTCAGTACCACCAGAAGATACAGGCTCAAAATTTAGAACTGCAGACGTATTTAGATAAATGCACGGATGCCAGATGCATAATGAGTTACTAAGGGAAACCAGGATGGCCTAATTTTGAAATCTCACAGTAGGAAGACAAGCTTCCCCGTCTCCATAGGCCCCATAAGCAGAGTCAGAATCCATGATCGACCCAGCGCCTGAGCTTTTTTCTCATGGTCTAAGCCATAATTTTAAATTATACCCTGAAAAGGAAAATGAAACTTCAAGAAGGGGGACAGCCAGCTGCCCAAAGCCAAGGCAAAGCCATGGCCCATTGTTGAGCAGAAGATCAGCACCTTGTAAATGATTTTATAGTAACCTATGGGCTCATCTCACCTCTGCTTCTAAAGGCTAGAACCTCATCTTCCACCTCTGCCTCTCCCAAATATGCACAGTGTTTATCTTATATGCACCAGGAGCCCAAATGTCTGGTGAATGAATGAACTAGCAGACAGCAGGCAGTCTACTTTGACAAGCAACATGGCCCTGGAGTGGAATGACATCCCTGGAGTTGGAGGTAGCATGAAAAGGACAACAGGGGGACAATGAAGATGTGAACAGAAGTGGGCATCGTGAACCAGCCAAACAAGGAAACAGCAAAGAGAACTGGTGAAGAAATATTCTTGAAGGATCCTGATCCAGTACTTGAAGGGCTGTCACATGGAAAAGGAATGAGGTATGTTCTATCCAAAGCCCCAACAGCCACCTTCCAGCTGAATTTAAGAAAGAACTTCTTCCTAGCAAAGTGTTTCCCAGACTGTGTTTAGTGAAATGCTAACAATCAGGGAACAGGGTGCTCTGGGGGTTAGAGAAAAAAGATTCCAATTTATCCCATAACATAATAAGTTTGGGCATTTAGGTTAATCAAAGGTAAATGGATGTTATCACTGAAGGACACAGCTTTCAGTCCTCCTCAAACTTACATGGCTCAACGGCTTTTCATATGCTATGAACATCTTACACAATCTCCATATTCCAAACTCAACTCTTGGGAGGAGATGAATTAGAGCATCTAACAAAAGCATCTTATGAAGGGGTGAGTGCCACACCAGCATCTGAGTACTTTTAGAACACAGAATTCAACAGTGCATGGATACAGGTATACATGCAATCTGAGTAGAAAACTAGAACCATGGGCTTGTCCTCCCATGGCCTTCCACCTTGATGGGCCAAGGAGCTGACAAAAAGGTTCTTACACATGAGAATGCAGACAAGTTGTCCCTTCCTGCCAGTTGGCATCCAAACAAATGGTTGATATGATATGGATATTGCAAAGGGATCCTGGAATTAATCAATGATGTTGGGGATGGAGGGGTGGGAAGCTTAATGACTGCATGAGTTCTTGCCGGAGCCCACACTGACTCTTCTCATAGAGCATTTTCTAGAACATATTGCCTGCCTGCCTTCTTTCCTCATCCATCCACCCTATAAATACTCATTGAGGGTCTTCAATAGCCTGGCAGTGGTGAGTAAAACCAGAGTGCTGCTTCATGACTGTCCATTGGGCAATACATACAATGAACAAACAAATTACACAAATAATGATTTAATTAAGGTTTTCCATATATGTTACAAAGGAAATGAATGGTGCAAAACAACAGTAACCTACACAGAGACCTTGTCCACCCCGGAGTTTCATGATGGGTTCCTTAACAGAACACAGAGATCATGTTTTGCAGATCCTCAAATGTACAGGTCCAAAGTGTGCAGGTCTCTGTGACATTCCTCCAGGAAACCATATCCCAATGGGGTTGAGAAAGACCACACAGGTCTACCCAGCACAGAAGCCTCCTCTCTAGCACATATCTTATGGATGTTCTATTTGAGACTATGATTCATAGGTCTGGGATAGGTAATTAGGTGATTCGAATGCTGCTGTTCTGCAGACCACATTTAAGTAGCACTACTCTACAAGACATCTTAAAAGACTTAAGTAAATGGAGAGCTAGCTATACCATGTTCATGGACAGAGAGGCTCAATCATAAAGATGTCAATTTTCCTCAAATTCAAGTTAACCTATATGTTCAATAGATGTCCAATCGAAATGCCCACAGAGTTGTTTTTTTCTTTATTGTTGTTGTTGTTGTTGCCATCTAATCTAACAAGCAGACTCTCAAATTCATTTGCAAGACTAAAATGATGTTAGAAAGAACAAACTGAGGGGTTGCCTTAATAGCTTAATACTTCCAATAAAACTATAGGGGTTGTATTGACATAGAGAGGTAAAGAGACCAACAGAACAGAACAGAGAGCCAAAAAACAGACCTGTGCTTTTAGGAAAACTACATGTAGAAGATGGCATTATAATCAGTTGGAAAAGGATGAATGACCAGTAAGTACTGCTAGGGGAATTGTTTATATAAAAAATAAAACTGAATTTCTATTTTATACCATACAAAAATAAAATAAAGTTCTAGATAGATTATACTCCTAAATGTGAAAAAACAAAACTTAAAAACTTTTAGATGAAAATATGGAAAATTTTTACTACTTTTAGGTAGGGAAATATATATTAAATAAGATACCAAGTATGCAAACCAAAAAGAAAAGACTGACAAATCTGACTCTCAGAAAATTGAAACTGCTGTATGCCATAAATAAATAAGAAAGAAAAGCCACAAATTGGGGAAAGATATTTACAGCCCAGATAACATCTACAATGTATTAAGAATTCCTATCTACAAGACAAGACAATCCAAATAGAAAAGGATATGAACCTGAAGTACACAGATGAGAACATCAAATAGAAAAAAAACATGAAAAGGTACTCAACCTCACAAGTAATTAGAGAAATGAAAATTTTAGAACAGTGAGATGCCATTTCATACCCATCACACAGGCTAAACAAACACTGACCAGATCAAGTGATGTCTAGAATGTGGAGCCGTAGAAATTCTCACATAATCTTGTTTGGAGTACAAATTAGATCAATCCCTTCAGAGACCAATTTTGCATTATGTGATAAAACTGACCAATTTCATTCTCAGGTATATACCCTAGAAACCTTCACTCATGCACTTGAGGAAGCACGGCCAAGACATTCACTTGGTGTGCTTCATAATAGTGAGAAACTATATTATTATTATATTATTATTAACAGTCTAAATGCCTGTCAAGAGGACCTGGATATATACAATGTAGGCTATTCATGCAATGAAATACTCTATAGCAGGGGGAAAAAAATGAAAGAACCAGAGCTACAGGTATCGATGTGTACATCAATCGCTCAAAACGAATATTAAGCAAAGAAACAAAGTTTTTATAAAAAATGTAAGTAATGGGTACCATTAATATAAAATTCTAAGATATGCAAGACAGACCTCATACAAGGGTACTTCAGAAAGCTCACAGAAAAACAGAATTGAAAGATAATACAAATCTTTCCATGGACTTTTTGAAGTACCCTTATACTACTATTTGGGGCATATACATATGTAGAACAAATATGAAGATGTGCATGAGAATGATAAATCTAAATTCAGCATAATGACCTCCAGAGAGGGAAGGAGAAGAATGGTATCTGGGGAAAAGAATAAAGATCACTCATAAAACGACAGCTCCACCCCCCCCCCAACTCTACTATTAAAAAGCATCAGGGTAGGAGAGGCTTCTTCAGCAAATCCAGGCCTTTCTAGATTGAAAAGCCTCAGAACGCATTTAGTACAGCCGTCACGCCATACTGGAAACCTTTCTTCAATTCTTGGGATCTTCCTACCTCTAGTACAGAAGCTCCAGAGTCAGGGCCACTATGTATGATTACATAGCATGTGCACTACACGAACCTGGAACATACATTTCACAACGTATGATGCCCCCTTGGGTTGTTCAGTGTACAACTTCCACAACCACACACAACAGCCCTGTAAGGATCACAGATCCTTTGGAATTCTGATAAAACTATACCCATCTCCGGGAAAATGCCCATTCAAACAATTACTGTCTACAATTTCAGTGGATTCAGACACAGCCCAGGCAATGATCAGCAGTCCTACACTAGTCAAACACCTCCAGGGAAGGGTGCTCACAACCTTTTGAAGTCCTTTCAGACAATGCTGTGAGACTAAGTTCTTCCTTAAGCACATTTGAAACTTGTCCCTTTTTATGCTCCATCCATTAAAGTTGATCTACTTCCTTTCCACATGTCACTTCAGCTACTGGAAGAAAGCTAACCTGTCCCCCCAGAGACTTCGGCTTTCTAGGCTAAATATACTGACTTAGCTTATTGCAAACACTCTATAACTTCTCTTTTGTTCAAAATGAATTTTTAAACTGTCCATCCTTTTACCAAGCACTTCCTGTCCTCATAAACAGCTAGGCATGATGATGTGTTATCAAAGAACAAGAAAGCATTTCTCTCGGCTGCCCCTTTGGAAAACCCCCCAAAGATCTCCATTCTTGCTTCCAAAGCAGTCAAATGCCCACAGAAGCCAGGAAATGCCAGGCTGGAGGAAGACTCAGGCTTTTTCCAGGGACACGGCAAGGCCAACTGAGCAGAACCAGGACATAGCCCCCACAGGCCAAGGGACACAAGGTCTCAGGCACTTACTCCCAAAACTCCATGACGGGGGAGGTGGCGTTCTGCAGGGCCACATGGCTGTAGTTGCTCACATTCAGTTTCTGGAACTCCACACAATTCTCTACAGTGGAAACAAGACAAGAAACACGAGAAAATTAAGTTTCATGAGAGCTGAGCCTTGGAAAACATTCACAGCAACGGTGCAAGCAGGCAGTTTTACCTAGCCACTCCAGGTAAACAAGCCTCAGAGAACACGGGGGGGGGGGGGGATCAACTTTACAAACAGTTAAAGAGAGGCTTGCTCCCATTAGAACAGGAAGAAAGGTTTTCAAGGCAGGGGGCCTTCTCTCTCCCATTCCCACTGAATATGCCCTATCAAACTCCTTCCTCCAGCCTCATTCCCAAATATTTTCCTTTTTCCACTTCCCTTCCTAAGGCCTGACCATGGCATTTATCTGACCTGCTCAGTGGCCCCAGTTGGAGTAGAGGAACTAAAGGAATGATTCAGCTGTGGTGTTCCAAGGAAAGTAATGCAGTTGAGACTCAGTTTTGTTTATATAAAATGGGACAGCTGCTTCATAAAGGCCTGATGATTGGATGAATTGGCATGGACCCACAGGTGTAAAGAATCTCTGGTTTCTTCATCAGTCCCTCACTCAATCCAATCAATCAGAAAGGATTACTGAATGCCTTTTCTCCTTTCATGAAACTTGATGATTAAGGGAGATTTGATTCTCAAGTAAAAACACCTGAGTGTTCATCCCTCAAGGCCTAGAGCAACTGATTAACTCCTCTCCAGGAAGCCTTCCTTGATCTCCCTCCTTTGAATTCTAACTTAGAATTAAGTTAGAATTAATTCCTCCAAGGAATCACCTTCTCCAACTCCCTTTATTCTGAAGAGAAAGAATCTAAAGTTCAGAAATAGTCAAGGGACCCCTACTTGTACCCTCTCCCTCATCTATAAAGTCACCAGCCAGGTAGGGACAGAACTGAGAATAAGCTCCAGCCAGGGATCCATCTCCTTGCCGTGGTTATTGCCCAGCACTGCACACCTCCAGGGGACCTGTGCCCCTCTGTTTGCAGAGCTGTCTGGGCCACCAGACCAGGAGCTCCCCCAGGGTATGGCCTCCTGCATCCACTCCCCTCAGAGCCCCCTGCACCTGGCACAGCGGCCAGCAGGAGCCAGTGCCTGGCTTCCCTGGGCATTTCTTTCTTCTCGCATGTGTATGAACCATCCAAACTATACCCATGATCTCCGGGGGCAGGAACTACCTCCTGCGTGTGATGTTTTGCACATGGCAAGTGCTCACATGCCTTTAGAGAAAGAGGTTTGCAGTCCAGTGGGGAAAAGTCCCCAATAGTCTGCCTCCTTCCTGCTCCTCTTGGCAAGTGCTAAATCTATTCTGAGAGGAGGTGGTCTGTGGGTCTACAGTCAGTCTTAAGGGGAGCCTGGAAATCTGAAATGACAGGCAAAACATCTGAATATGTCCTTGTGCCTTTTTTAGGGGGGGAGAGAGGAACTCTTAGTTTTTATTAGATTGTCTTAAATAGCATTTCTCAAATTTTCTTCCTAGAGAAAAAAAATTTCTCAGACACTCAAGGTTAACAATTTTTATAAAAATGAGACTTAGGGGCCGGCCCGTGGCTCACTCGGTAGAGTGTGGTGCTGATAACACCAAGGCCACGGGTTCGGATCCCATATAGGGATGGCCGGTTTGCTCACTGGCTGAGCATGGTGCTGACAACACCAAGTCAAGGGTTGAGATCCCCTTACCGGTCATCTTTTAAAAAAAAAAAAAAAATGAGACTTAATCATGTATGATAAACAATGAGTTATAAAGTCTTTGTGATTATAGTATTCATACAACTACAAAAGCAAAAATAAACTTACAAATTAAATACCAACTAAACTAAGGAACCAACACAATTCAAAATGATAACGAAATGGATGTGTAGGATAATGCCATTTGGTGAAATTACATTGCTTTCCCAACAGAAAAATGGAATTGACAGGCAGAAGGTGAGGTCAGCTGAGTATTGGCCTGTTCTTCCACGGACTATTTGAGACTCAGTTCTACCATCATTTTCCTCTGGTCACACTTTGGCACAACCCTCCTTCCTACAGTTTTTTATGTTTTCATCTGAGTACACGTAGTCCCAACACACCATTTATGAACTAAACCTCTCTGCTCTCTTTCCCTTGGCCACCATTATTCTATCTGCCACGAATGCACCTTAAATTTTAAACATGCCCATTGTCAGGCACTGGACTCTCCTGGCTGTACTCAGTTATAAGGTGGTTGTGCCAGGACATGTGCATATTTTTAGAGTATCCTCAAAACACATTCACAAAATTAAATTATCATAGAGGACTCACACCTCCAAGAATATGTCCCTGAATTTTAGTTTGATAAAAACTTTATGAAGTTCCAGGGCCCTAAAGAGAGATGGCAAGATCTCCACAAAATGCAGGGCTAGAAGCTAGATCACAGCACTTTCTAGGCCTAACACCTGCTAGTACTTCTACTAGTGACCAACATCCTACCCAGTCTTATTATTTCTCAGCCCTCAGGATGACAGGCCACTTCCAGACACAACCTAACCACAGGTTATAAGGCAGATTGTGACTAAGTTAAAGTTCTGTGCCAATTCCAGGCAGCAGCTGGCCACCTGAAGCACTGCAGAGAAGGGTCCTGAGGCCAAGACCAGGCTCAAAGGGAAAGGGTGCTACAATCGATTAGTAATGTCTGCTGTAGGCACGGTCATCTCAGAAAGAAGATTGACAGGTGTTTGCCTTCTTCCCTGGATTGAAAAACCCAGTCCTGACAGGATGACAAATTGAAAAATAAACAGTGTATCAGAGTCAAAAGTAATCTAAAAAATTATCCACCAGGAGCTGGGATGGGGATGGGGGATGAATTCAAATGTCTAGCTAGATTAAACAGGTAAAGTCAATGAACAAAGTGACCTGCGTGGGGACTTTGGCATCCCCGGGACAGGTGCATCATTCAAAGGCAACAGCTGCTTCTCAGCTGCAATCACTGTTGTCAAGCAGGAAAGTGGATTTGATGTTTCCAGATCTTCTAAGTTTTCAAGAGTAGCTGCAAATCTGGATTTTCACATGAAGTCTTCTCATTTTTAAATTTTGGCAGCCAAATACAGGTTTTTTTTTTTTGGTTTTTTTTTTCCTTTTTGTTTTTTTTTTTACTGACCGGTAACGGGATCGCAACCCTCAGTGTTGCGCCCGCACCGCGCTCAGCCAGTGAGCGGGAACCGGTCTCCACATGGGATCTGAACCCTCGGCGGGAGCGCCGCCGCACTCCCAAGCGGCGCACTCTCCAGTGCACCACCGGGACAGCCCCAAATACAGGTTTTAAATTTGCTATTTATTGGTTTGAATCCTGACTGGCCTAAAGACCCTCTGTCTGCAGCCCTTGATTTAGTCTAACCCCTTTGTTTAACAGAAAAAGTCTGACTCAGAGAGGCAAGGCTGGAATTGGAACCCTGGACCCCTGAATCTCAGTCTAGTGCTTCTTTCTCATATTAACCACGACATTCCTTGGGCCAATGCTAAGCTCAGGCTTCAGGGCTGCAACTCACAGAACATTTCAGACCCAGTGATGAACTGACCCTCAGTTTCCATGGAGCCACTCCAGAAAACTGGACTTGTGATGAGAGACCACAGGCCAGGACTGGTCTTGAGGACAGGACATACCCTCAATCCCAGGTCCCCCAGCAGGACAGCAGAGAGACCTTCCCTGGGGGCCATACCTGTGTTCCACTCATGCCCACAGGTGGCCCAGGGGAGCTCAGTGGTGAAGCAGTTGCTCAGGTAGAAAATGGCCCATGCCAGGATGATGATGTAGTAGACATTTAGATGGGCCTCAATCACCTGTGTTGCATAGCCAATACCTGCAAGGACGAAGGAAAGAGAACAATTTGACGCTATCTTTTCAAAACAGCCTTCAGCTACTCTTGCAGCTTGACATTACCTGGGCAAAATTTTATTTTCTCGTTAGCTCAACACGTACCTTCAAATAAAGGACAAACTTTCCTCCAACACGTAATGCCACCCTCACTTGTGAACTGCCCCAGGGCTGTTTCCAGGAAAAAAACAGGAATTCCACAGCAAATAAAAAACACCACGTAGGGAATCAGGAATGCCCCTGCAAGGATGCAAAGGAATGAGATTAAAAGTGCTCCTAACACTTTGTGTACAACACAAGAAATCTTTAATAAGCGCCTACTACAGGTGTTGGGAAAATAGTCAGGGCCCCTCAGATGTTCAGAATCTTGCTGAGTATTTGATGTAAATATGCACATGTGCCCAGTTGCTTCTTGGTTATTGTCTAATGTAATTGCACATGTGCACCCAGGTGTCCTGGGTTATGGACTTAAGTACAAAGGATGAGTGGCTCTGCTCCACGGTGCCCCCCACCCCTGGGATGCCCCCCGGGGGGGGGGCATGGAGAGGCTGCTACTGCTGCTGGAGGCTGTTGCTACAAGCTGTTGCTGCCAGTGTCCCCGGGACCCTCCGAGAGGCCGCAACCACTGCTGCTGCCATTGCTAAGGGTTGAGCTCACGTCGTCTGCCAATGGCTCCTGGGATCTATCCCAATTACCTACCATGGACCTGCGTGTGAGGGGTCTGGTGACCTAGCCTGGCTTGTGAGGGGCCTGGTGACCCCTCCTGGCTTGTGAGGGTTCTGGTGACCGAGTCCTACAATGAGTTTGAAAGGTCTGAGCCCTAGCCCTGACAATACAAATAGAAACTTAGTATAACTAAAACAACGAAACATTTTGGCTTTAGTTATGATTTGCCTTACTTTACAACTGGTATAGTTGCGTAGCTTTACAACAGGTAAGACATAGTGTTCTCTGAGACTGAGTTCAAGTTCCTGTTATGAGGACCAGAGTCAGAAAACGTGGCCCTGGGTTTATGCTCTCTGTCACCTGCTACCTCATGTCTCCAAGCTTCAACTTCTTCATCTGTAAAATGGGGCTTCAGTACTTAATATCCATACCACTAATCTCACAAAATCGTTGTGCAGCTAAAATGAAAATGTAAAAGAAGTGTTTTATTTGCTCAATTCTTTTATTGACATATTTCATTCTCCAGCACACATCAAACCCATTCCCTCTCTGAAGGCTGCACCTTTCATTTTCATTCTAAAGTAACCTCAGTGGGCCAAGTGAGGGGCCCTTCCTCTTATTTACTTCGGTAGTGACCTGTAAAAAAACTCTTTTTCATAAAGAAAAGCATTTTCAGGGACTTATACAATGAGCAATATCAGGCCTCAAAGAGTTAAGCACCCCTACACACGAGGTCCAGGTACAGAGCTGAGGTGTAAGGAGTTTGCAGCAAGAATCTATCTAGCAAGGCTGGCTTTGAATGAGTCTGGGAAAAGACTACCCCAAGCTTTAGTGCTTCTGTCTTGAAACACAATACTCATTGCCTGGGCCTTTCTGTGAAACAAATCAAAAAAACTGAGGTGAACATGAGCAATCACAATCCGAAGGGGATTCTTCCAAATCCCTCGTTCTCTCTCCTGTCTAATAACAAAGCATGAAAACACATGCTATTCCCACCATCTGATCTCACAAATGAAGGCTTTAACTGAAATTGCTTTTTGCTAAATGAAGTCTCTTTAACCACAAGGATTAATAGCAACAATTTTGATCAATCCTGATAGCAGGGCCATATCTACCAGGTTTTGAAAGGGTCTTTGCTTTTCTGGCCAACCAACTAATTTAAAGCTTCACATTGGGAAAGAAATACTTTAAACTGTTACTGGGATCTAAGAGTAGAGCCATGTAGATATTTTTCAAAAGGTGAACAGTTGATAAGCAGATACCAAAACTATAGAAGGAAAAAAGAGAGTCAAAGGGCATAAAGAGGATCTGTTTATTGAATCTAAATCTAAGAGATTAAAACAAACTGCAGCAGATTCCTAAACATGTTGTAATTTATCTGTGAACCTTCTAAAACCTAACTGATGACACTCTCTGAAAGCCTTCTGGCCCATGTATTCACAAAGCTAGTAATCCTTAAGATAACTAACTCAAACCAGGATACCTACCTGATCAGTGAAGATTCTCGGCAAGTTAGAGTAAGAAATAAAAATGACTCATTTTTAAACTTCACTTACCACAACCTTTTTTTTTTTTTTTAATCTGTGACAAAATTTGTAATTAACCCAATTTACCCTGTTTTCTGCTTTTATATATGCTTTTTGTTTTGGCATAACAATTTCCTATATGAAAAAAGATGGTAAAACAATTTTTGCCTAAGGACTACTTTAAAGGGTTCTCACAGGTTTCCAAGTGGACATTGCAGCTTATAAAGGCTGACTCTGCAAAAAAGAGGCAGGATTCACAGCTGAGGGCTCAGGGCATGGTGGGGTCTCCAAGTCCATTCCCTCTCTCCCCCTTGCCAAGCCACCAACACCAGTGGCCACTTCATTACCAGTGCAGAGCAGGCCTGTGGCAGCCTGTGCCTTCAGGATGAATGTCTCCAAAGAAAGGGCCTGGGCCAAGCAGTACCCTTCCCGTCTCCCTGCAGCTGCTCGCACAGGAAGTCCTGCTCTGCACAGCCTAACAGTGTGGTTCCTGCCAGCCAACTTCTGAGCCAACTTCTGAGCCACCTTCTGTGGGGTTTGGGAATTTGCTGGAGGGGCAGGGGCCAGCAAAGAGCAGGGGGAATACATAGACACGGTTTTTTACTGGAGAAATTGTTCCATTGTAGAAGGTTTTACAAGATCCCTTGCCATAGACCTGCCAGGCTCTCCTGATACATCTTGAAGTCTGAAGCTCCTTCTCTGAGCTGGGAGAAGTGTGGATTCACTTCCGATTTTCTCTCCAATTGACTTTGAGATGTTTTCACTAGAAATGACTGTCATCACCTTCATTTCTCTGTCCCCTTCCACAACCTCTAAGCATCTCATAAGCATTAAGTCAGTGTTGTTGCTATTTGCTGTGGGTGACTCCGAGACTGGTAAAAGAAATTGCTTGGTGCCAATTCTTCCAACAGAGAGGCCCAAAATATTAGCCCGTAGAAAGGGCCTTAAGAGCAAACGAAAGACTCGGCTCGAAGGCAAACAGCAGTGCTTCACCTAAAAGATCTCCCTGTTGTTAGTCAAATCCCAGTTTAGAACAAGGCCTTTGGTGTCAGAATCCCACCTTTATCACCGGTTAAGTGAATGACTTCTCTGATCCTTAGTTTCCCCATCTGCACAATGGGTATACCACTCCTACAAAGGTGACTGTGAGGATGATATATAAAGCTTAGCTAGGTTCCTGGCATTATCAGTACGTGCTCAAAACCGGAGACAACTCACATAATTATCACGACTCCCTTTCCCTCGGGCCGTTTCCAGTTAGGAAAGCAGAGGCTCAGAAGGGCTGTCTCCTGCCCAAGACACCAGCGACCGTACCAAAAAGCAAGGGCTCCTGGTCCCGGTCCTGATGCTGGTGACAGAACCCTCCTGGCGGGCAAGTCCCCGGTGCGCGGCAGGTGGCACACTCAGGTGCGAAGCAGCGCGAGCCCATGCTCATTGGAACAGGTGGGCCATGCCCAGGGATGAGCTCATGCGCCGGGCGCCGGGTGGCCTGGGACGGAGGTTTGCCGCAAGGGTCCCGCTTCACGCAGGCGCGGGAGGGGGTCTCACGCTCTCCCCTTGCTCCCCGCCCCCACTGAGCCGGCGGTCGACGCCACCAGCCTGTTCTCCCCCCGTCGGTGCCGCCTTACCTCCTCCGTTCTTGTAGCACAGGTAGGGGAAGCGCCACACGTTGCCCAGCCCGATGATCTCCCCGGCCACGCTCAGCACAAACTCCACCTTGTTGTTCCAGTGGCCGCGCTCGTGGACCGCCTTGTCGCGCTTGTCGCGCGGGTCGCGCGCGGGCGCCGCGCCCCCGCTGCCTCCGCCGCCACCCGGCGCCT